ATTGATTTTGGGGAGTTATTGCCTCAAAATTTTAGGAATTAGGGGCCAAAAAGGGGCAAAAAAACAAGCATTTTTCTAGTTTCAGGACTATAACTTGTGTGTAAGTGTATGGATCTTTATGAAATTGTACTGCAAGGTACCATACCACAAAGGGAAGGCTGGGATTGAGTTTGGGGGTGATGAATCATAAGGGGGTTCAAAAAATTTTGGGGAGGGGGGATTTTTTTTTCCTTTTTTTTTCTTTAAAATTTTCCATTTTAAATTGGTTATTTCTGATTTATATATAAAAGCAAATAATAATGATATGGTTTGAATAGGTAAATTAAAAAATTTTAAGTTCTTAGACCACATTCATTCTGTGTCAGAAACCTATGCTGTGTCACATATTTAATCACAATCCAAATTCAGTGCTGTATCAAGCTTGAATGTTGTGTCCATACTTGCCCCAACTGTTCAGGTGTTCGACCTCTGCGGTTGTATCAAGCTGCGCCCAGCAGAGCATTTTATTTTCACATTTAACCTTAACATTAAAAGAAAAAAACTTCATCACAAAATCTTTTTTTTCCCAGATTTATTTCACATTACTTTTTCAAAACATTGCAACATCCTTGTCTTGCAAATCTCGATGATATAGTTGAATCAACTACAATCAATGCTTTATACAATGCAATGTTTAATTTTGACTTCCACTGATAAAACACAGATCAAGTTGAATTTGGGTAGTGTCACTTTAACCATTATTGAGTTATGCCCCTTTATAAATCGAAAGATTGCAAAATTCTAGTTTCCATTCTGTAACTTAAGTTTGCCCCAACCAAACATTATGAAACCTATACACAATATTCATTACCACAAAACTAAGATCAAGTACAAATTTTTTGTGTCCGTTTTCTAACTTTAGTTTGCCTCAACCAAATGTTATGAAACTTATACACAATGCTTATTACTACATTAATAAATAAAGATTAATAACGAAATTTTGGGGCGACACTTTTACCATTCTTGAGTTATGTTCCTTTATAATCATAAAAATTGCTGAATTTTTCGTTTCTGTTCTCTAACTTTAGTTTATCTTAACCAAATGTTATAAAACTTATACACAACCGTTCTAGAGTTATGTGTGTTTACAAATAGAAAAATTGCTGAATTTTTAACCGGATTTCCGAAGGAAATATCGGTTATTAAAATGGTTATATACGGCGGGTGGCTGGGCGGCTCTGGCGGCTGCCAAACAGCGTCCGCACAATAACATGAAAATGCTTTATCAAATTTTTTTCAAATTTAAATATGTTGTTTCCTGGGACTTAATGAAGGTCTCTATTAATTTTCAAGATTTTAGTATATCTCCTTTGTGAGTTATCGCCATTTTTAATATCCAAAAGTAGAATTTTTAAATATTTTACTGTTGTTATCTTTTTATGATTTGTCTTATCTCAGAATAAAAATTGGAGTGACAGATTTATTTGAAAATTATCTATTTCCTAAGTGGTAATGATTATAAGCTATATCATTAGACATTTTGAAGATTATTACATTATTAATTATGTTAGAGTACTATGTTAAACAACCATAGTTCTGTTCAATTAGATATTATAAATATTTCAGCAAATGTTAATGATTTATTTTCATTATTAATTAGATCTTTGAAATATTTTAGCATATGATAATCATTGGAGTGATAGATTTATTTGAAAATTTACTGTTTTCTGATTGAAATATAGGGGAAGTCCATTGGGGTAATTCCCACCCAGAAACCATATATATTCTTGTATGGGACAATATATCAAATCAAATGAAATATAGGGGAAGTCCACGGGGTTAAACCCTACCCCCTTCTTTTTGAAAACTTGTAAACGGTTGAGATCCCTACCCCTAAACCATATATGTACTTGTATGGGACAATAAATTAAAGCAAAATTAAAATTTAGGGGAAGTCCCCTGGGGTAACCCCTACTCTCCTTTTTTTTTTTAACTTGTAAATGGTCAAGATCCCCACGGCGAAACCATATATATTCTTGTATGTTACAATAAAACAAATGAAATGAAATAAAAGGTGAGTTCCTTGGGGTCATTCCTATCTTCTTCCTGTTTAAGAACTTGTAAATGGTTGAGATCCCCGCCCCTAAACCATATATATCCTTGAATGGGACAAAAAAACAAATCATATGAAATAAAGGGCAGGTCCCCTGGGAAAATTAATCAGTGTGTGTGTTATATTTGAACATAAATTAAATATATATAGGGTTCTTTAAGTGCTGAATCTAAACTTGTTTTTAATTAGATAATTATCTATTTTTATTATGAGATAAAGTTTTTGACATTGATAGATAAGTTGCAGATCTGTATTATTTTTTGACACATGAAAGAAACAATATTAGCAACTATTAATTAAATTTGATTATAATATGAAATAGATATAACATGATGTCTGATTTTAGAGAAGTATTTTGCTGGTTTTTTATTGGTTTATGTAAATAAGTTTGAGTTATTTGTTTTGAAAAGTGATGTGTTTAATTGATAGATATAAAATCATATCTATATTTTGAGATTTCTGGAGAATTATTTTGGTGTTTTGTTACTGATTCATGGAAATAAATTCGAGTTTTATCTTGTAAACGGTTGAGATCCCCACCCCTAAACCATATATATTCTTGTATGGGACAATAAAACAAATCAAACGAAATATTGGTGGAGTCCACGCGACCACCCCCACCCCCCTTCTTTTTGAAAACTTGTAAACGGTCAAGATCCCCAACCTGACACATTGACACCATATATATTCTTGTATGGGACAATAAAACAAATCAAATGAAATATAAGGCAAGTCCCCTGGGGTCACCCCCACCCCATCCTGTTTGAGAACTTGTAAACAGTCGAGATCCCCACCCCTAAACCATATATATTCTTATATGGGACAATAACACTAATCAAAAGAAATATAGGGGGAGTCCAGGGGGTCACCCCCATCCCCCTTCGTTTTGATAACTTGTAAACGGTCTAGATCCCCACCCCTGAACCATATATATTCTTGTATGGGTCATTAAAACAAATCAAATGTAATATTGGGGAAGTCCATGGGGGTAACCCCCACCCCCTTCTTTTTGATAACTTGTAAACGGTCGAGATCCCCACCCTTGAACCATATATATTCTTGAATGGGACATAAAAACAAATCATATGAAATTGAGGGGAATTCCCCAGGGGTAACCCCCACCCCCCTTCTTTTTGAAAACTTGTAAATGGTCAAGATCACCACCCTGAAACCATGTATATTCTTGTATGGGACAATAAAACTAATCAAATGAAGTAAAAGGCGAGTCCCCTGGGGTCACCACAACCCCCTCCTGTTTGAGTACTTGTAAACGGTCGAGATCCCTACCCCTAAACCATATATATTCTTGTATGGGACAATAACACAAATCAAAGGAAAATATAGGGGAAGTCCATGGGGGTCACCCCCACCCCCAAAACCATATATATTCTTGTATGGGACAATAAATCAAATCAAATCAAATATAGAAGTCCATGGGGTTAACCCCCACCCCCTTCTTTTTGATAACTTGTAAACGGTCGAGATCCCCACCCCTAATCCATATATATTCTTGTATGGGACAATAAAACAAATCAAATGAAATATAGGGAAAGACCATAGGGGTAACCCCCACCCCCCTTCTTTTTGATAACTTGTAAACGGTCGAGATCCGCACCCCTAAACCATATATATTCTTGAATGGGACAATAAAACAAATCAAATGAAATTGAGGGAAAGTCCCCTGGGGTTTACCCCCACCCCCCTTCTTTTTGAAAACTTGTAAATGGTCAAGATCCCCACCCCGAAACCATATATACTCTTGTATGGGACAATAAAACAAATCAAATGAAATATAAGGTGAGTCCCCTTGGGTCACCCCACCCCCGTCCTGTTTAAGAACTTGTAAACGGTTGAGCTTTTCATTATTAATAAGATAATACCACATTGAGGTCCAAAGGGTCCTGAATTAAACTTTTGTTTAATTTCATCAAATATTGAATTCTTTGGTTCTTTGATATGCTGATTCTAACAATGTTTGAGTGTTAAATCATAGCTAATTTTAGAGAACTAAGTCATCACTGGTTGTTGTTATTATATTATTGATTATAATTTGAAAAATTGCATCATATCTTATTTTAGAGAACTATTTATCCAGTTTGAGTTATTTCCATTTGCACAGAAAATATTATGGATAAAATTAACCTGTGTTTCATTTCAACATAAATTAAATATATATATAGAGTTCTTTCAAATGCTGAATCTAAACTCTATTTAAATATTAGATTTTTAGGCCCAGTTTTCAAGTTGGTCCAAATCAGGGTCCAAAACATAAACTTTGTTTGATTCAACAAAAATTGAATTTATGGGGTTCTTTGAAATGCTGAATCTAACCATGTATTGAGAGATTTTGGATTTTGGGCTCCTTTATCAAATTGGTCCACATTGAGGTCAAAGGGTCCTAGATTAAACTTTTGTCTGATTTCATCAAAAATTGAATTCTTGGGGTTCTTTGATATGCTGATTCTAATGTGTACTTAGATTTTGGATATTGGACCATAATAGGTATTTAAATATCCAATTTCAGATATATCAGTTCTTTGACTACATTCATTTTGTGTCACAAACCTATGATGTGTCAAATATTCAATCACAATCCAAATTCAGAGCTGTTTTAAGTTTAAATGTAGTGTCCATACTTGCTCAACTGTTCAGGGTTCGACCTCTGCAAGAAAATCCGGTTTGCTGTCACTCTGACAGCCTCTTGTTAGTTTCTGTTCTCTTCTTAAGTTAGCCTCAACCAAATGTTATGAGACTTACACACAATGCTTATTTCCACAAAACTCAGATCAAGTTCAAATTTGGGTAGCGTCACTTTTACCGTTCTTCAGTTATGTCCCTTTATTTTTTATTATTTATCTTGTGTATCAATTACTTACCAATAGACTTGCCAAAATTATTTTCATTCCAGGTGATACCCTACCAGGTAAGGTAAAAGATGGAGGATTACAAAACGGAAAGTTTGCCATTAAATATGTTCCAATGGTTGAAGGAGCCTATAAACTTGAGTTGATCTTACAGAACAAAACTTTTGCATCACGTTCATTCACTGTTGGTGAGGGAGACACTTCTTTTCTTGAGGAAATGAGTGGAGACTCTACAGATCCTAAAGCTACTTGTGAAGACGGTACTGACCTAAAAGAAATTCCTGAAGCAGAAGTTCCAAAACTCCCTCAACAAAGTAATTTCATAGGTTTTGACTAAGTGCCAATATAAATGCAACATTTTCATGTATTTTCCATTTAATGAATATTCAAATCATGTGATCTTTGGATGCTGACAAATGGTTGTAAGATTTTGTGCCAACAAATGCTTTGAATGAACTTTTTCATTTTTGTATTCATTAAGAAACCAATGGGCCTACACTATGATGTTGCATTTATATATTAGCATTTAGTACAAGATACAAGATACAAGTTATTTTATTAACCTATCATGGTGCCCAAAATTAGAGCTATACAATCAAATGAATTACAAAATAAAGCACAGTAAATGATTAGAATGATTAGAATGATTAAAGTACATTTAAAAAAAAACATGTATACACATTTAAACAAAGTAACATAATTATAAACAATGTAATGTGACAAAACATTAAGTAATTTTGGAAGCCACTGTGACCTGGAGAAATTGAGTTTCTGACCTAGGCTTATGGGAGACAACTCCTGATAGATTTTTTTAACATTTTTATATGCCCGTTTACGGGACGTATTATGGTATACCGTTGTCCATCCGTCCGTCTGTTCGTCTGTCCGTCCGTCATCAACATGTCGGACATTAACTCAAAATTGCTTTAAATAATATGCATGAAACTTTGGTGAATTGTTTATATCTATTGACGTGAGGTCCCTTTTGTTTTTTTTATAAATTTCAGATTTACTGTTTCTTAGTTTTGGGGTTTTATTCATTAAAAAAGGGGGCATTTTCCAGTTTTCCGACAATAACTCAAGAATGCTTTCACCAACTTGCAAGAAATTTTGTTGAATTGATTATATCTATGGACATGAGCACCCTTTTGATTTTTATAAATTTTAGACTTTACGTTTATGAGTTACAGAGTTTTATTCATAAAAAAGGGAGATTTTCCAGTTTTCGGACAATAACTAAAAAATTTCCTTTAGCAGTTCTCATGAAACTTTGGTGAATTGTTTATATCTGTTGATGTAAGCTCCCTTTAGAATTTTATAAATTTAAGATTTTACATTTCTGAGTTATGGGGTTTTATTCATTAAAAAAGGGGGGATTTTCCAGTTTTTGGACAATAACTCAAAAATGCTTTAAGCAGCTCGCATGAAACTTTGGTGAATTATTTATACCTATTGATGTAATCTCCCTATTGATTTTCATAAATTTCTAATATGTCATTGAGAAGAAATTGAACTTTATTTGTTTATAGTCTGACAACAGATTTACTAAATATTGCGCAACAGCACAGTGTATTGCACAACAGCAAGAAATCTTTAATTGAATATAAATTCAATTCATATAACCAATTTCAAGTTCTTTGACTAAATTTATTCAGAAACCTACAATATGTCAAATATTTAATTACAATCCAAATTCAGACCTGTATCAAGCTTGAATATTGTGTCCATTTTTGCCCCAACTGTTCAGGGTTGGACCTCTGCGGGCGTATCAAGTTTCCAGACAATAACTTGTGTTCAAGTGTATGGATCTCTCTGAAATTGTGCTGCAAGGTTCCATATCACAAAGGGAAAGCTGGAATTGTGTTTGGGGGTAATTGCCCAAAACGTTTAGGAATAAGGGGCCAAAAATAAGCATTTTTCTAGTTTCCAGACAATAACTTGTGTTCAAGTGTATGGATCTCTCTGAAATTGTACTGCAAGGTACCATACCACAAAGGGAAGGCTGGGATTGATTTTTGGGGTAATTGCTTCAAAATATTTGGAATTAGGGGCCAAAAAAGGGGCAAAAAACAAGCATTTTTCTAGTTTCAGGACAATAGTTTGTGTGTAAGTGTATTGATCTTTATGAAATTGTACTACAATGTTCCATATCACAAAGGGAAAGCTAGGTTTGAGTTTGGGGGTAATTGCCCTAAGCGTTTAGGAATTTGGGGCCAAAAATGGGCCAAAAAACAAGCATTTTTCTAGTTTACAGACAATTACTTGTGTTCAAGTGTATGGATCTCTCTGAAATTGTACTGCAGGTACCATACCACAAAGGGAAGGCTGGGATTGAGTTTGTGGGTGATGAATCATAAGGGGGTTCAAAAAATTTGGGGGGGGGGGGGGATTTTTTTTTCTTTAAAATTTTCCATTTTAAATTGGTTATTTCTGATTTATATATAAAAGCAAATAATAATGATATGGTTTGAATAGGTAAATTAAAAATGTTTAAGTTCTTGGACCACATTCATTCTGTGTCAGAAACCTATGCTGTGTCAAATATTTAATCACAATCCAAATTCAGTGCTGTATTAAGCTTGAATGTTGTGTCCATACTTGCCCCAACTGTTCAGGGTTCGACCTCTACAGTCGTAACAAGCTGTGCCCAGCAGAGCATTTTATTAAATGCTATATTGACCATAACAGGCATATATTTTAAAACATTGTTAAAGTTATATTGTTTATCTTATCATTTGTCTGTTATATTGTTTATCTTATCATTTGTCTGTTATATTGTTTATCTTATCATTTGTCTGTTATATTGTTTATCTTATCATTTGTCTGTTATATTGTTTATCTTATCATTTTGTCTGTTTTAGTGGTGACCAATAATCCAGAAATTTTCTCTACCATTCGACGTGAGTATAAGTAATGTTTCAAATTTTCATAAACAAATTTAATAATAGATGGCATCATATCTATGATTCACTGTCTGTATCACTCTGCTCAGCTCTTAATAAAATAGCATATCACGGCTTTGTGACGTCAAATACTTTGACCCGGCCTAATAACTTTGACCCGGACATATCACCAAGGTCATAATGAATAAACCAACATTGATAAGCTTGACCTGAACTTATCAAGTCATCTTCCAGATTGCTGTGTTTTCTTTAACACTTGTTTCTATCATGAAAAATATGCAAATACAACCTGATTAATCAATTATCTGGTTGTCTGCATATTTATATTGTAAAATATCAGCTGCTTGACACATTATGTTGCCCTTTCTGAACTTTTTCGCTGCGCTCACTCGACAAAAAGCTTCATATCATAATCGGTACATATATTATTCACCTGTGTTAATATTTGATTGGTTGATCGGGACTATCCCACATGACATTGAACAAAACATTCAAGTGCTCCCCTCTGAACATTGAGTCTACCTCACTCACTGAAGGAAATGTGGATAATACAACGTTTCGACACTTTTTACACAGCCAATCATTTTAGTATCATGTTTAAGCTTATTTTAGGCATAAAATCAAACATACATAAACATATCATGCATAAACATGATTAAATAGTTATTTATTATTGTTCTATTTATGCCCTATATATATGTATGTATAAATCATGGGGATATGAGAAATTGAAAGTAAAAAAAAATATAATTATGGGAATTAAACAATTATTTCTTAGTTGGCAAAGGTGGATATGAAGAATGTTCACCCTGGTAAAGTCATATTTCCCTCAGGTTATTCCCTCCCGTTCTTGGGTGAACAAATATATCTCCCTTAGCAAGGAAAACAAAAGTATATGATCAGTGTTGTTTGGTTATGTTGTATGAATTTTTTCAACTTTTTATTCATACATATGTATGATCATGTATGTCTTCAACATCCAAGAACATGGTCAGTTTAAATAAAATGAAGGTGAAACACATATATCTTTCCACCATATTCATTGACAGAATGCTTAAACTCTGTGGCTCCTTTTACAAAAAATACTCGTAAGTCATACACATTTCAGTATAACTTACGATCAATTTTAGTCGTAAGATTTTTTTTGAAAAGAGTCGCTGATCTATTGAGTTCAAAGCATAGTTATATTTTGGTTAGCCATAAGTTAAATATCATGTTTTCTTTATATTCAATGAAAGTCACCAATTTTGTCTTTTTAAAATAACAATTCTAAAAATACTGTTTATTTTCTGTTCAGAAATCAGATTTTTCCTTGATAAACAAACTGCTCACAAAGAAGTAACTGTCACTGAAGATGGAACAACATTTACTAATAACCAGCAGGGAGTTGTACCAAAGTCATCGGTATTACACCCCAACAGGTAAACATCAGTGTTAAACATATATATATTATGAGTAATTTAAAATTGTTTTTAAAGATTTCATTAAAATATACATTACATGTATAAACAATGTTTTACATATGACAAAGGATTTAAATACAAACAAAAATCAGTTGTCCCCTCTGGTGGTGAATTGTCCATAAAACAGAAAAAAAGTTGAAATTAAAATTTCATATTGAAATAATGTTTTTATTTCATTTTTTTATTGACTTATACTTAATACAATAAAAGATGAGAAAAAAAGCAATTTCAATTTTATCACATTGTGGGATTTAACTTTGATTGTATTTTGATTTATTTCGTGCTGTAGGTAATACATGTACCAGTAAAATTATCCACACCAAAATAAAACATGCTCAGAAAATAATAAAACAAGTTGCTGTTTCTATATTTTCTATACTAATGGTGATCACTAGTCATTTAAAAATAGGGCATTAAATGGCTTCTTAAATTAAACACATATGGTACTGACAAAATTTTAAAAATTGAAAACACCAAAATCATATTACTTTTGATGCCCCCTGCAACAAAATGTCAAGGGGCATATTAATTTACTCCTGTCCGTTAGTCTATCCGTCCGTCCGGATTAGGATACATTGTTTGTCCGGCTATCTCCTCCTACAGTTTTGGAGGTACAACTTTAATATTTTATAGGATGTTCATACACATAATGGAGGTGTGCATGGCCACAGGATTTTGATTTCTTTTATAATATTCTGAAAATGACAGGTAGTTGGACTTAGTAATTTTTTTGGTCAGGAGGGGGCATCATTTGTGTCTTACAGATTTTTTTGGTACAAGCGACATAAAGAGATAATGGTAAGTCCGGCTATCTCCTCCTACAGTTTTGGAGATACAGCTTTAATATTTTGTAGGATGTTCATACACATAATGGAGGTGTGCATGGCCAGAGGATTTTAATTTTTTTTTTCAAATATTCTGAAAATGATAGGTAGTTGGACTTAGTAATTTTTTTGGTCAGGAGGGGGCATCATTTGTGTCTTACAGACAGTGTAACAACTTCAAGTTGTATGCCAATATCACTGTTTGTCAAATCTAAAATATGTGGAACTATACTCATGCATATGGCAGAGCAGAAAAGGGAAGGGGGTGCATTGTCCATATCTAGTTTTTTTGTAAAACATCCAAAATGTCCTATTTAATCATATATATATTTATATACTTTATACAGGAAAATTTAACATTTGCAAAAGATTTAGAAAAAAAAAATTTGTTCTAATATGGCGTTCTTCAAACGCTTTGAGTACACACCTGTGGTAAAATTTGAATATATTCATATGTCAGCTGATAGGCAAAGTCATGTTTTGTTTTGGCTGTTCCAATCCTACTCCCACCTCGTATGCTTTTTATAAATGATTTACCTCACGTCAGATGGTGTAAATGACGTCATTGAACGATGACGTAAGAATGTAAGGATTTTATGGGAAAATGTATGAATGGGAAACTGAAAGTCGTCAAAACATGAAAACATAAACGAATGATGGTAAGAATTTGTATAATGTCAATATCTTCTTAAATGAAAGTAAGATAGTCAATTAAATTCATCCAAATATGTCTCAGTATGTTATTGTATATCGTTTAAGAATGTCACTTCTTCATTTTTTTCGTCGTTTACGTCAATATTAAAAGTGTGTTAAAGTACGGGAAAGCAAACATTTCCTTTCACATTGAGCGCTTCGATCCCAAAGAATTGCTGTCTTTGTCCTATTAGAATAGAAATAATTCATGGGGGCTTGAATTTATATTTATTTTACCATTGGTTGGCCCTTTATGCTGATATGTTACCCCTCGCTGTCGCTCGTGTTAAAATATTTAACATAAACGGCCAACCTGTGGTAAAATCACAATAATTTCAAGCCCCCATGAATTATTTCTTAAAAACATTGTGATACAAAATTTGAAAATGTAATGAATATTATTACAGACACAAAAAGTTCAAAGGTGCACGTGGAACACATGTTTTTACACAGCCTGGGAGATATTTTTATGAAGTTATCCTTGAGATGAAAGTTGTAGCACCACTGCAGCTAAACAACATCGCCTTTGAAATTGGTATTGCCAGAAAGTCATCTATAGATAACAAGAAGTATATCGAAGGTCAACCATATGCATGGTCAATGATAGGAGCTCACCATCCAGCATGTGATGCAGTGTGTGTCCATGTGGTCAGAGATAGGAAAGTTCTTCTCCATAAAGTTCTTGTAAAGAACCAGGTAGACGAGGAATGTCGTATAGTTCTGGGTTTCCTGCTGAATACAGATGCTGGTACATGGGAAATCTATAACAGTGAGGAAGGAGAAAAACTGTGTATTGTGCACAATGTAAATTGTGAAGAGCCTTTGTTTCCAGTTGTTTCTGGTTACAATTCTTCACAGGTTCAGGTTACTGCTAACTTTATAACAGGCCATCAAAATGCCCCTGAAGAAGAGTGATTGCTACAATGAACATGTACATTGTATTTCAATTTTTATTGTTTTTGTCTTGTTTTAATTGTAAATATTTATTTTACTTATGTAATACTGGAGTATAAATGACAAATTAGTATATATATAAATATATTAGAAAATATAATTTTATTTAGTTCATTAATGTATAATTGAATGATAGAACACAAAAAAAACACACATAGAATTACATGGTAATAAATGATTATGATGATGCAATGTCATGAACTGAATTGTTGCTATGTTACCACATAGTTATGTTCATAAACTGCCTGAAAAGTCTCATTAGCTTTAATTTTGTTTTTAAATATAAAAAAAAGTAAACAAAATAAAATCCTTTTTTAACATGTGAAATAAAACAGATATAAGGTTAATATAAGAAGACATCAAGTAGTCAACAAGGGATCCTTGAGTATAGACTAGAGTCTGTAAATTGTTATCTTTTCTTCAGTGATAACTAATGATTTTTTTCAGAAGTTTTATGTTGTACAGAAATATCTTTTATTACATGTAATATCAATTGATTTATATATTGGTATCAAACATATTTAATATTTATTACTTCCAGTATTTTCTTTATTTACATAGAGGAATTGTGATATCCATTTGTAGATATTTGTAAAATCTGAATTATCAGTGTAAAAATATAATTATGTTTATTTTTAAGAAATTTTGTTTTTTGCAAATGATAGACATACTATTATAACAAAAGGCTACAATACAATATTGATTTCCCATATTGAAAGTTGAAATACTTATTATTCTAGTACAGTTTTGATTATTTTTGTATTTGTTTGTTTTGAAATGATCTTTTTCTAGAATTAACAACATTGTTAAGACTTTATCATCAGTTTAAGAGATTTAATGCATTTTAAAGGAACTACCAAGACATAAAAATTCTAATTTTAGTCAGATTTTGATGTATTTGTTTCTTTTTCTTTCCTGTGGTTTCTTCCTAAATAAATGTGCTACCTGTTCTTTTGAAACCTTTTCCTTATGTCTTTAATCTCAAGGATGATTGGGGTATAGAAGAATGGTCATCTCTTGGTTTTCTTCTGACCGACAGTTTAAACCATTCCCAAAGTTTGGTGTGCATTTGGCTGTACTTGATGTATAAATTCACAGCCACATCCAATTCAAATTTACCGACCTATCCTCCTGGTGGACTATATTGCAGGACTAACCTATTGTATTTATTGTTATCTTGTTCTCATCCTGAACATACATGAAATATTCAAAACTGGATAATAAACAAACAACAATGAATCAATCAATCATTATGTCTTTTTTGTTTAAATAAGACCTTTTTGACCTGCTTCAATCTTATCATGGTGTGCTATGTTACTATTTCTATATGACTTGAATTTTATTACTGTCAATTATTGTTTGAGTGTGTTGTTATCTGTCTGTAGACAGAATGGTCTTTAGCCACATTTATTTACATTATAGATCACTGATCACTGAAATTTAAACAATGGTTAGTTGCACTAAACAAAGAATGTAAAAAATATATTACTGTGTTAAGGATTTCTCTGTCTTCTATATCTGGCACACAACACTGTCAAATACAATACTATGTTTCCATGTTAACATGTTGTGACATTGTCCCATGTTAAATCAGCTAAGCCCTTTACTGATACATGAAGGAATTGAAGTTCATGAATGTTTTATTGTCCCCCAGCGCAATGCATTGCGGGGGACATAGAAATACTGGGCGTCCGTCTGTCTGTCCAGTCTTGTTAGCGCTCTCATGTGTACAATTCTTGCCACATTTATATGAAATTTATATCATAGGGTTATATTAGCAATGTCTTAGACGAGTTCGAAAATCAGTCCCGATCAATTATTTTTCAAAGAATTATGCCCCTTGGAAACATTAATTATATGGAAACTTGCATTGTTAGCAGTCTCATTTGTTCAATTCTTGACAAATTTTATGAAACTTATATCATAGGTTGATATTAGCAATGTCTTAGACGAGTTCGAAAATCAGTGCAGATCAATTATTTTTAAAAGAGTTATGCCCTTTGGAAACATTAATTATATGGAAAATTGCATTGTTAGCGCTCTAATATGTACAATTCTATCCAGATTTTTATGAAATTTATATTATAGGTTTATATCATCAATGTCTTTGACGAGTTTGAAAATCAGTGCTGATCAATTATTTTTAAAAGAGTTATGACCCTTGGAAATATAAATTATAATGAAAATCACATTGCATTTGCTTTGAATCCTTCATTTCTCTCAGATATTAATAAAAAGTCGTATAGAACAAAAAAAAGTGCTTATTTTAGTTATTGCCCTTGTACCTTGGATAGATAGAAGATATGCAACGCGGGGCACATTGGAACTCTGTTCTTTTTTATGCCCCCGCCGTTCTCTAACCTTAGTTTGCCTTAACCAAATGTTATGAACCTTATACACAATGCTTATTACCACATATTTCAGATCAAGTTTGAATTTGGGTGGCGTCACTTTACCGTTCTAGAGTTATGCCCCTTTACAAATGGAAAAATTACTGAATTTTTAGTTTTCGTTCTCTTACTTTAGTTTGCCTCAACCAAATTTAATGAAACTTATACACAATGCTTATTACCACAAAACTCAGATCAAGTACAAATTTGGGTGGCGTCACTTTTACTGTTCTTAAGTTATGTCCCTTTATAATGTTATATGCAAGCGGGGGCATCATCAGTGTCCCATGGACACATTCCCCATTTATTTCTTTGTTGTATTTCTCTTTTTGAATGTCTATTTTCTTAGTTGAGTTGGTGTGGGCTGTATTATTGTCCAAAATATTTGTTTATTCCTTTTATCCTTTTTAAGAATTATGAATATTTATATATTTGTTGTTATTCTCTAATTTTCTTTGTTTGTACATAATAAGTCATGTATGTAATCTCATAGTTGGAGTTGTTTAAAAAAAGGGTTTTAACATAGTTGCCAACATCTATAAATGAGAAATCATTTCATATCATGACAGCATGTACAAATTTGTGCCATGCTTTTTTTGTTTTAAAAATCATGTTTAAGTTCACTTATTAGTCTTTTTGTAAACTGTAATTATTATCCACAGTTTGGCAAATTTTAGACCAACAGATCTTGAAGGATTTAAGTGACAATAATAGAATTAATTAAATTTAAATGATATCAAAAGCTATTAAAGTGAAATTGATGATCTGCAACAAACATTAGATAGGTAACTTGGATTTGATAGACTTTTCATCAAGGGTATTGCACCTGAGCGGGAGATAAAATAGGCCTACTGATGCTCAATGTGAACAGCAACAAGTTTCAAGTAATATTTTAGCTTTTTATAGATCAATTTATATCATTTTTGAAGGAAGAAGAAATTTAATGCAAAAGGCTGTAGAAAGCTTTTTTTGCCCTTTGTCAAATTTCTTTTTATTCACGTCAAACTGTTGTTTTCAAGCTTTAATTTGATAGATGCAAAAGTAACACCTTTGGGTTCTAAAAGACAACTTCTGGTCTGTCGTAATTTCCAACTTTTGCAACTGCTTTCAGACCACTGGACATCTTCTCAAAAGGATTTGTAAAACTTTGTGGTGGAAACTGATTAGAGACCTCAACATTTTAATTAACAACAATAGATTATTAATAAACAAACTAAAACATAAAATCAAAAAACTGCATTATCAAATTATAAAAACAAACAATATTTAGTATGATAATGTGTCGTGGAAGGCATGTACCTGATGTGTGATGAAAAAAAGGTGTGTAAACAGTTGAAAAAGCAAATAATACACATGAATAGCATGAGAGTTGTCAATTATGGATTTGAGTCAAATATAGACTGGCTGTAAGATTGGCAAGGCAAAGCAAGCATTTCAGTCTGTTATTATTATGTATTTAAACTTATTTAATTTTACTTTTATAACCTGACCTAACATACTTATGCTACAGATAGCCACATTCTTCTAACAGTGTATTGTATTTTGTTGATTAGCTCCAGTTATATTGCTGTATAATTGTCTGAACTAACTGAATTTAAATGAAGAATATTTATAATTTTCCTGTTCATCTTATACCTTTGTTCAAAAATTGTTGCAACACCAGTGATTGTGATAAAATAAAGGTTTGTTGTCTTTATTACACATGTTTCAAAATTTCAATAATAAAAAAAAAATATCAATTGGATTTTGCAGAAGATGATAACAATTATAGATCAGAAAGTGCTGATCAAGTAGCTCTTTGCAAGAATATTTTAAAAACAAAACTTTTTAAATTTGTGTTTATTAACTTGTGAATTCATCCTTCCATGAATGTATATGATTTTAAAAATAAACAATTGAACATTTTGTTTTTTCTTTAAGTCTCATTCAAAATTTTCATCATTAGGTTTAAAACCCTTGCACACACATCACTCAGGAAAACCTAATACATGTACAGAGAAAGCCAAATAGATACCTTTATGTCTATAGTGATAATGGAGACAGAACTCCAGTTAAAGTTTAAAATATTATCAGCTCCCTGCAGTGGGACCATTTACAAAATAGGAGAAATAAACCCTATCTTATTATGTTGTGTGAAATTAATGATAGATGAAAAAATGGAAAAATGTCACAATAAAATCTAGTAGTTTAATATCAATACAAAAATATATTTCTGTCTTATAGAAAAGGTCAAAGAAACCATTCATTTTACCTTTACTTCATCAATAATTTGTATGATCCATCTACAGTGGTAGGGGCCTAGGGGTTATAGTGTTTCTGGCCTGTGTGTTTGTCTGTTCGTTCTTGCAACAGGTTAAACCTATGGTTTCGACCAAGGAGGTTGTGTCAACATCTACTTTGTGCTTATATATAGATAGTACACATGTTCATTATACACTGTAATATGAAATATGCCAAATAAGGGGTTTGATACAGATTTCACAGTTCACTCAACATGGAAATGTGAAAAAGGGCATTATGTCCTATGGACCCCGTTAATTTCCTTTGTCACAATGCTTATGTTATTACGTCACATCACAGTAAGATCCATTTTTGATTCAGCCATGCTGGATCTATGGGATCACTCTGGTTTTGGAGATGGTGCAGAATACCAAGTTGAAGACATATCATGAAATTAATTATATGTTTTTATGCTTTGCAGAAACTTTCTACACCATTTTAATCTTCAACTGCAAACTTTTGACATGTTATTTGCCCTTAAATCAAAAAAAGATTAGTCGAATAGTGACTTTATTTTAGATATACACTTGCATATAGTTCCTTTCTAAATCAAAATTTATGATGATTTACTATTTATGAATTAATTTGAAGAAGTATTTGTACATCAATTGAATCAATTGATAAGAATTTTGAAAGTATTATATTAGTATCTTGTGCTTGTGTAAATTATTGTTCAATGAAATGTTGGTCAACATGCGTATTAATATATCTTAAGTTGATTCCCACACTTTTTTGAAATGGTATTACTCCAATTCTTTCCATAGGCAAGTAAGAGTCAGAATGGTTATTAACTGTCATGATTTTCAAATAAGTATTAATTAGAAACAACCCCAGGATTAATTCAAAACAGTTAATATCTCATGACCTGTTACATAATTAAATAGACACAATTTATTACACACCTAACTGAATACACACATTCTCAGTGACCTCAATTGTTAACCTACAAATGTATTATTTATTTTGATCTACACTACATTGAAATATTCTGTTAATTTTGCTAGCTGGCTGAATGATTAATCTGATGTGTTTTTTTTCAAAGAAAATACTTAAAATGAAAAAAATATGTATAAAAAATGCAAGCAAATTTTATTTTACTTGTAAAATCAGTGCCAATATCATCTGACATAGGTCAATAATCAAGTTCTAATTAATTAGTTTACAATTATCAGAAATTTGGGCGTATTGCGTTTCCGCTAATTTTTCAAAGTTCCTATACTACGTTTCCCGAAACTTAAAAGTATACGTTTCCAGAAATTGTATTTATTACTTTTCCGGAAATTTACCTGGTAGTAAATTATAAATATTTGAGTATATGTTAGATTAATTATTTATTTTATATCAAAATGTGGGATCTGCTAATTGATTTGTGCACTACCCGAAGACTAACTCTCAATCCCGAAGCAGTTCATATTGACTTTGAATGTGCAATGCATACTGCTTTATCAAAAACATGTCATGCTGCTACAATCAGTTGCTGGTAGGTTTAATTTCATTTTGGACAAAGTTGGTGGCCTAAAATTCAGTAAAAAGGTCTTAGTGCCGATTACAAGGACAGAAATTTGGATTTTGGAAAATGGCTGACACATTTCTTTGGTTTGGCTTACTGGAGGAAAAGGAGAAGATGGACTTCCTTGTTGAACAAAACACAAAACTTGTAAACGGTGTAAACTTTGTACGACGTGTTGGCCACAAATATTCTGCCAGAACTGATTTATGAACTCATGTCGGCAAGATATATCTGATTAGTGCTGACTTTTAAACATATGTTTTAATCCATTTTAATGATGAATTTTACTTGCATGCTATGATGACCTAGATTCAGATTCAATATTAACTTAATAGATATTTAATTCAAATTTTTGCGGTCGTATATTGGTATGACGTTGGCGCCATCGTCGTTGTCGTCCGGCGTCGTCGGAAGACGCATTGGTTTTTGACTCTAACTTTAGTTTAAGTGAATGGATCTCTATGAAATTTTACCATAAGGTTCAATACCACAAAAGGAAGGTTGGGATTGATTTTGGGGGTTATGGTACCAACAGTTAAGGAATTAGGGGCCAAAAAGGGGCCAAAAATAAGCATTTTTGTAACTTCCAGACATAACTTGTGTGTTAGTGTATGGATCTCTCTGACATTGTACCACAAGGTTCCATATCACACAGGGAATGCTGGGATTGATTTTGGGAGTAATTGCCTCAAAATATTAGGAATTAGGGGCCAAAAAAGGGGCAAAAAACAAGCATTTTTCTAGTTTCATGACAATAACTTGTGTGTAAGTGTATGGATCTTTCTGAAATTGTACTACAAGGTTCCATATCACAAAAGGAAAGCTGGAATTGAGTTTGGGGGTAATTGCCCAAAACGTTTAGGAATTAGGGGCCAAAAATAAGCATTTTTCTAGTTTCCAGACAATAACTTGTGTTCAAGTGTATGGATCTCTCTGAAATTGTACTGCAAGGTACCATACCACAAAGGGAAGGCTGGGATTGATTTTGGGGGTAATTGCTTCAAAATTTTAGGAATTAGGGGCAAAAAACAAGCATTTTTCTAGTTTCAGGACAATAACTTGTGTGCAAGTGTATGGATCTTTATGAAATTGTACTACAAGGTTCCATATCACAAAGGGAAAGCTTGGTTTGAGTTTGGGGGTAATTGCCGTAAACATTTAGGAATTTGGGGCCAAAAAGGGGCCAAAAAAACAAGCATTTTTCTAGTTTCCAGACAATAACTTGTGTTCAAGTGTATGGATCTCTCTGAAATTGTACTGCAGGTACCATACCACAAAGGGAAGGCTGGGATTGAGTTTGGGGGTGATGAATCATAAGGGGGTTCAAAAAATTTGGGGGGGGGGGATTTTTTTTTCATTCAAATTTTCCATTTTAAATTAGTTATTTCTGATTAATATATAAAAGCAAATAATAATGATATGGTTTGAATTTAAAGATTTTAAGTTCTTAGACCACATTCATTCTGTGTCAGTCGGAAACCTGTGCTGAGTCAAATATTTAATCACAATCCAAATTCAGTGCTGTATCAAGCTTGAATGTTGTGTCCATACTTGCCCCAACTGTTCAGGGTTCGACCTCTGCGGTCGTATCAAGCTGCGCCCAGCGGGGCATTTTATTATTTTTACTTTGCTTTCGTTCAACAAGTATTCCTTAATTATTTTCCCGGAAAAGTAATAATTTATTTTTTCCGGAATCGTAACTATTTTCCCGGAAAAGTAAGGTATTTATTAGCGGAAACGTAGACTTTTTTTCCCGGAAACGTCATATTTTTTTCGCGGAAAAGTAATGCCAATTTCCGGAAACGTAAAACGCCCAGAAATTTGGCTGAAATATTAAACAAAATTGCATAACTCTTACCTGAGCATTTTTTTTTTTTTTTAATTTATTTGTTTGTTTTACAATTATATCCCATTATATTGCTATTTAACAGTAATTGGAAATATCTCAGCATTAGGTATTTGTACATTCAGATTTGAATACAGGAAATGTATTTTTTCTTAATGAAGAATGAACACCAATTTAGATAAAAAATAGTTATTTTTTTTTATTTATGTTGTTGAGAAAGTGCATTTATAAGGCCTCTTTCTGGAAATTATTAAACCTGTCATTATTAATGGCATATAAGAATATATTTCTTGTTTGACGATTTTCCTATCCATTCTTATCAAAAATAAAATCTGACAGAGTCTAAAATTGAAAGATCAGTATATATATATCTATATTTGCATCAATATTGCGAAATCCCCTACCTTTGGACAATAACATAGAAATTTTACCGTAAGATTGGAAATGAAAAGAGAAAAAAAATTAGAAAAAAAGTATGGTCAGATAGAATATGAGACTAGCTATGAATATGGATGGATCACAACATCAACGATGCTTTGATTTGATGACGTTTACAGTCATAAAAATTAAGAGCAAGATTATCGTACTAAAGACTCAGAAGTCAACCAATCAAAATACTGGATTTGGTGTTTCGAGCACAAATTTTGTAGTCAAGTTTTATGACCGAGAGCCCAGGTCAACCGGTGTAACCCATTGTTTGGTATGCTGAATCTTAACATGTATTATTAGATTTTTATACGCCCGTTTACGGGACGTATTATGGTATACCGTTGACCGTCCGTCCGTCCGTCGTCAACATGTCTGACATTAACTCAAAAACGCTTTTACCAATATGTATGAAACTTTGGTGAATTGTTTATATTTATTGACGTGAGCTCCCTTTCGTTTTTTATAAATTTCGGATTTACCGTTTCCGAATTTTGGAGTTTTATTCATTAAAAAAGGGGGGATTTTCCAGTTTTCGGACAATAACTCAAAAACAATTTCATCAATTTGCAAGAAACTTTGGTGAATTGTTTAATGCTATCGACATGAGCTCCCTTTTGATTTTTATAAATTTTAGACTATACGTTTCTGATTTATGGGGTTTTATCCGTTGCAAAAACGTATGAAACTTTGGTAAATTGTTTATATCTATTGTTGTAAGCTCCCTTGTGATTTTTATAAATTTTAGATTTTATGTTTCCGAGTTACAAGATTTTATTCATAAAAAAGGGGTGATTTTCAAGTTTTTGGACAATATCCTTAAAGTGCTTAGAGCAGTTTTCA